GTGCGTGCGTGCGTGCGTGCGTGCGTGCGTGCGTGCGTGCGTGCGTGTGTGTGTGTGTGCGTGCGTGTGTGTGTGTGTGAACCGAACAGAACCGAAGCGCAGGAATGCTCACACAATTGTTTGTCCACACAAATAGGTAAAGTGGTTCGGTGTGTATACATATTTATGATTGGCCATGTCATTGTTCTCATTATCAATCTCACTCAACAAATTAATGTAACTTATTATTAAGGTTGGTTTCACAGCTGTGCGTACGGTCCGTACAGACTGTCCTACAATGAACGCACGGGTGGCCTGTGCGGAGTTCACGCGGAGCGTGTTCAGTACGGAGCAACGTCACTGTAAAACGATATCTACACGTGTTACTCCGCACCGGTGCTCCGCGCGGACTGTCCGCAGACAAATCCGCAATTTTCTGAAACCAGACTTAAACTCAACTGTACACGTACTAAAGTGTGGTTAAAATTCTAATTTTGAAAACTGTGTTTACATTGTAGAGTTAGTTAAATCGCTTGGTTCGGTAACTACGCCGTCGCTCCGTTCAATAAACAACGTATTTCTAAAATGAAATAGTGATGGGAATGGTTTTGATTTACAACAACTCTAAAAGTGTGTACCGTTTAGGTTCTCGGATTTCTCTCAGAGAAAAGTTTGAGGAGACTGGTATCATGATTGTGGCATCACAGTACATTTACTCAAATATTTTGTATGCCCGTAAAAATATACATAATTTCAATAAGAAAGAAGATATCCATAATATTAACCTTAGAACTAAGTCCAGACTCATGGTACCACGTTTTCGTTAAACTGAGATAAACGATTCTTTTATGGAGAACTGTATACGTTTTTACAATAAGATTTCGGAGCATATCTAAGATTAACATTTCCTAAGTTTAATAGTTACATTAAAAGTATTTTAATTGAAAAGTCACGTTACAAAATTGTAGACTACGTGTTAGATAAAGATGTATGGAAAGACAACGTGTGTCTGGATTCCACATAAATATCATTCATTCAAAAGAGCAATCCCTAGAGTTTCTTGCTCGTTCTTCTCAGGGAGGTCAGCGTAGTGAACGAGCAGTAGCTTAAAAAACGACGTTTTCAAGTGCGAAAATTAAATAATAAATGATTATTTGACCTTGATTCCGACTGTTTTATATAAAAAAGACCTCGGATGATTACTTTTCCGTTTTCGTTATATTTTCATTACAATTACATCTATGTACCAAGTTTTATTAAAATCGGTTAGCGAAAAATATGTGGTATCCAATAAACTAGATCCATTCCCGAATGTGCCACTCGTAGAGGTAGAATATTTTCCTCAAATTTGAATGGGACCAAACCTTAGTTGTGACAGTGTTCGTCAGGGAAGTGCCAACTTACCTATTTGTACCCACAAAAAGTAGTAATGTAAGCATTACTGCGTTTCGGTTTTGAAGGGTAAGGGTGCTAGTGAAATTACAGGCAGTGACCATGACTTATGAACTTATGTCTCAGGGTGACGGGCGTAGTGGCAGTGCCATTGTTATGGATAGGCATGTCGCTTACCACCACGCACAACTTGTTCGTCCCGTCTCTTATAGGTATTATTTATATATATTATTTATATATTTCCTAGTGAAAACATAATGGTAGCCAGTATAGACATTCTTTATTTTATTCAATGCACCAAGCTCTAGTAATGGAAGCCCTAGTTTCAAACATTGTCGCATCAGCAAAAAGAATTGTCCGCGAGTAAATAAAAGTTAACCGAGTCTATTTCAAGTTGGGAAAAACGATAAACGCATTGCTTTCAACTCTTGGAGCTAAAAAATGGTGGATATTGACACAAAAAAGGGAGACTGACTGTATGCAAAAAACAGATCACAATTTAGTAGACTTGTAGCATCATATATTATAATAGCCATTTGTTACCGAGACTGGCACTATACAAAGTATCTTCATACTTAGTAAATAATCTGTTGTTTTATTTTGTTTGGTGACTTTGTTTTGTAATTAATTACTTATTAGTGTCCTACCGTTTCTCAAGCAGGACGCGGGTTCAAATTGCTCTCTGTTCTAAGTTTCTCGTAATGTGCTAAATTAATTTGAAAAATACCATGAGCTTTTCAGGGAAGGTAAACATTGTGATGAAATCTGCATGTCGCATGTATTAAGAGCTCTCATGCCAAAAAAATGTTGACGTGGGCTCCGCCCAAATTTGTGAAACAAATATATGCCTCAAGTTCGCGTGACATGCGACAGGAGATGTTGAATTTTGCGCGTTAAAAGTACCAAATTCGTTTTAGCGGAATAACTCTAAAACTAAAGGGTTTAAAAAAAATCCGTAGTGACAGTTCTCGATCACGCTTAAATATAATTAATTATCTAACTTTTGTTCTAATAACCTGTAGCATTTCGAGGATAAATCGAAAAAATGTGAAAATTAGAGGTCATTCCGATTTTTATCTATCGAGGAAACTTTATTGTTTAATGTTTCTGATTAGTGTCTATGCTTGAATATATCGTGTAGTTGCTCATACAATATTTTATTTTTAACTTTAAAGTGGATATACCCCTCTAAAATCAAATCGAAGATTAGGAATTTTTCCTCTGCTCCCTCTTAACATATGTTACGTGAGTGCTCTGGCATTTGTGAACCGATTTTATTTCTTTTTTTGTTGGAAAGAAAGAAAGAAAGATATGTTAGTATTTGTCCCATTTAAATTTGAAGAAAACATTCCACCTCTAAGGACATAAAACTAGGGGATGAATCCGGTTTCGCGCATTTTCCGGTAACCGATTCAATAAAACTTGGCAAATAGACGTAATTCCACGGACTTTTGAGGTCGTTTTTTTTTTATTATTCGTATTAATGTTATGTCTGACACTATTTTTATAAAAAAAAAATATTATTCTCCTTAACATAAATTTAAGCGTGGAACACACAGAGAGCGTTTGTGAGACTCTCGTTATTGATTTCACGACGTGTAATTGTTGTATATAGAAATTCTATGTTAATAGGTTTCGTACTAAAACACGTGTTTAAGTTTTATTTCTATAATGTGGGACGTACCGTGGGCTGTATAATGATGATGAGCCTTTATGTTCCAATTGACATCAATCACATAAAATGCCTAATCGAAAAATCAACAATAAAATTTCCGTTTCAAATGGAATTGAAATTCAAATCAAGTTCATTTTATTGATGCTGTCATTAGATTTCTTTATCATAATAATGAATTCAGTTTTATTTTATACCTATATCATATTATATTTGGTTATAAATTTTTTTTAACCAAAAATGTTTTATTTCAACATATAATCTTTACAATTTTGTGGCTCGAGAATCCCTTTTTAACCGACTTCAAAAAAGAATTGAGAACCTCCTTCTCAATTCGACTGTATGTTCTTTTTTTTGTATGTATGTTACGCGATAATTCCGGTATTTGTGAACCGATTGTCATGATTCTTTTTTTTGTTGGAAAGGGGGTACATCCATAGGGGTCCCATTTCATTTTGAAGAAAATCGTCCACCTCGAAGGGTGGCTGTTCACGCATTAATTTGTAATAAAGGACAAAGAAACAAAGAAAAGACTATTAAAAATTAACAAAAGATGATTAATATCAAGGAGTAAAATGTGCGAGTAGTGAGTGAGTGAGTGAGTGTGTGTGTAAGTGGGATTATTTGTGTGTGTGGTGATGCACACAGGGTATACGTGGATTTGCAAGTTACAACAACCAATGTGTTAGTAACGTGGTACGGACTTCGTGTTTGTTTTTGATCTAGAATTATTCCAGCACTTCTAAAAGACGTTCTGTATCCTCATAATCCAATGATCGTAACCATTTTGAGAGCGTAGATTTCAAGTCATACAAGATCAATGGGTGCAGAATTAGTACTTTATTTATTTTATTATAGAGATAAGAGAACTGTCCGTTAAATTGTTTACTAGCAAAGGTGGTACGTACAGTACAGAAGAGTATTAGTGAAATTAGGGGAACATAGGATTTGTCAACTTTATATCTCAGGATGGCAGATCTTTTAAGGCTCTGAGTGGCACTGCAACTGTTGTGGGTAGAAGTGTCCTTTAGCTGCACAACTAGTTCATCCTGTTTAATACATTAAACATCGTGTGTGATACAGCAATCGAGCGCGCGTGCAAAGACGTTGATCACTGCTGCTGTGCTATTAGCCTTTTATATGGACGCTCTTTCCGTTGTAACAAAAACAAACACGAGCATCGCGCGGAAAAGTACTTTAGCTTAAAACATTTTAAACAGGAAATAGCGCCCGCGTATCGCGCACGACTGCGCGTGCAGGCTCTCCCGCACGCAATTCTGTATGCGATCACGCGCGTTGGAGTGACTGTGTAAAGGGTACTATTCTTAAAAAAACATCTTTTCTCGGAGCAGATGTATCTCGCTACATAGATATTTCCCTAATCAATGCGTTTGATACCTGTAAACCTAAATTTCCGTACCTATATATATTCATATTTGGTGGCTATTATTATAATTTAATATTATGTTTGGAAACTTACATTATTATTTATATTGCTTACCTTCATTACTTACACTATTTACATTATTTGCTTTACATCTTACATTTTTGCTTGATATAGCATTTAGAGTTAGGAATATATATTTGCGTGTGATGCACTTTGGTGGCATGGCTTACTGGGCTGCGATCGCTCACCATATGGTACTGGCAGAAAAGCAGCACTGTTTGTCTTCTCTCGGTCTATAGTATTCATCCTGAGTCAGGACCATTTCAGCACAAACTGTAGTCATAGGTCCATTAAAATTTTATCAGTTCTTATAGTATTTGTTTGTTTTTCTCGCAGAATGTGTTTTACACAAATGTGTATAAAATTAATAATGAATGTTCTATGTGCTTTTATGTTATACTCTGTGAAGTGATTGTAAATGTTTTGTTTCTGGTTGTATTTCTGCTGAATAAACGTGTTATCTATCTATCTATCTTTCTATTCTGCCGTCCACTAACTAAAACGCGGGCAAGTGACAAATGGTGAAATTTCCGTTTTAAATAGCAAAAAACTAGAGCACAACATTCTATTTTAAAAACAGTTCAAATTAGTCAACGTCTTCGACTTATCGGAGCTTTTTCAATAGTCCAAAATTTGGTTATGGTTTTTTATTATATCTTAAAAAAATATATTGTCTCTTAGCTACGTTTTGCGGCAGTGTTGTAAATACGACTTCACCTAATTGCTTTTCATGTGAGTTTGTTACATCACACAGCTGTCACGTCGTAAGTATCAAACAAAGCTATGATAATTCATACAAACCGATGTAACAATTAAGTTACAGAGTTTCGTATGGCGACAGGTGTGACTACACTGTCCGGGAACTGCCTTAAATTTAGATTGGAATGCCTAATTAAACATATACTTATTCCATATTATTATATATATGTATATGTATTTATAAGTATAATGTGTTGTTTAATAACTTCTACATGTATGTGTAAATGTTTATATCTAGCACCGCCGCTTTTATTCATGTTTAGTCTCTCTCCATCCTAAGGTTGTCCGCAAGAAATCGCTGTAAGCGATAAGACCGCCAATTGTTACCCAGCTGAGTTTAATTTTTGTCCTATAATCTCTCTGTGTTTGTGATGCTAACAATAAAGATTTTTTATCTATCTATCCATAGGTACTTTACAACGTATTTGGTTTCTTGTTGCAGAATGCTGTACATGTCCATTCCCATCTACCTGTTGGTCGTCGGGGCAGCTCTATGCGTCCCTGAGAACATCCAAGGCGACCACGACCATCCCACTGATGCACACGACCACATCGCTCCACTCGAGAAACGGTCGCCAAAGTATGACGGGCCAGAGAAAAGAGCATATAGTTATGTTTCCGAGTACAAGAGGCTGCCCGTGTATAACTTTGGACTTGGTAAAAGGTAAGAGAACAGTGAATGTAGCATAACTCTCGATAGACTTGACCACGGAAACCTGCGACACTATCGATTAGTTATTGGTAATACCGACCCAGTCAATATTATCGGAATGGAATAGTGTCGTTGGACGTCATAGATTAGACAAAACCGTATTTTCGCAAAAAATCTTTTTCAAATCGTGGCGTCTATATGGCGTGGTTTAATACCATACAGCCAAGTCTTGGTGAATTTTTCCATTATTTATTTTATACGTGAAGTGTGACAAGTCTTTATGCGATTTTTGATAATTGTTCTTATCTACCTAAAATCACAAGGTTAGTCTGTATGGTTTTAAACCTTTGCCATTTTCTAAAGCAAGTATTTAAAAAAGTAGCGTCACAGACTAATCTGGGTTGTAGCATTAGTTGAATGGATCCTATTGCATACGCCACAGCCGCACACGTGACATTTATTCAAATTATGTTGGCTATTCAAAATTAGATACACTTGCTTTGCTATTTTTGTTAGTTTTGTTTTTTTATTCTTTCTTTTTGTATATTTTTCTATTATGGCGTTGCCATAAATGGTTTCTATTCTATTCTATCCAACCTTCAAAATTTTTTTGTATCCTTCCAACAGGTCTGTAGATGCACAAACGGACAGGCAGCCTATCGATAACAACGACGCCATACTATCCGAGATCTTGGAACAATACGACGACTCTCCAGGTACATACATATTTCATTATAAGGATGACCTCGGTGGCCCAACGGTTTTCATTGTGGAGGCTAGATAAGGTGGTCCCGGGTTCGATTCCCGGTAGGACTTTGATTGTAATGGGCAACAAATTGACAGACAAACAGCATTTTTCTGAAATGTGTCTGGTCTAGACAGACCAATCCTAGATCCGGAGCTTTCGTTGCTCTGAGACTCATAGTACAGAAAATTGCCTGGTTTGAGGATAATAGCTAATTGGTGTGTTATATTTATATTATATTTTATTTACTCAGACTTTTAACTGCCTTCGTGGCAACGGTTACCAAGTTAGGCTGCCACGCATAGGTCCCGGGTTCGATTCCCGGGCCGGGAGAAATATATGTATGGCCTACATTTCCTTCTCTCGTGAGTTTAATAACAATAATAATAATAACGCACACAGTCACCCCGCACCAGGGAAACCCTTTATCGCAAATGCCATGGACACACATATAGACAATCACAAATAACCCCTAAACTCACTTTGCAATAGGTACCTACGTGATTTTAAGACCTAATTATGTAATGATTGCATAGAATACTTTTTCAACAACTAAATAAAATTAATTATCCACAACCAATATTTAATTAAATTTTGTTAACATTCCATGATTGATAACAAACTCAAAAAAAAAACAAACGAACGCTACAAAACAAAAAACTTACGAGATAGAATAGAAGTAGCCAAATACCGCTTACATTTTAACCAATCTTTTTTATGGCCCGGTTGCAAAATCTCCAGCCAATTTAACCAATCAGGAGGCAGCACAGCGTTTTAGTAGCGTCATATTTGATATTATAATTAGCAAAAATACGACGTATTTATATTGAAACTCATTATAGTTCCATTGTGATATGGTTTACGACAGTACAGGAACAGAAAAAAATATTTAAAAATCAACCCTTAGCACTTGATCCGGCAAACTAAGCGTGTTTGCAGTAGGCATCCTGCGCCATCCGACTTCCCCCGACTGCCCTGTCGTTTCACTGCGCTTTGCGCAACTGTATTGTTTGTAAAACAGTGGTTCTAATATTCCCCGATTTGTTTACAGCATACGAAAAACGCGCTCGTCCATACAGCTTCGGTCTTGGAAAACGTTTCGACGACGAAGAACAGTCGGAAGAGAAGCGAGCAAGATTATACGATTTCGGCCTCGGTAAACGGTTACCCCTGTACAACTTCGGATTGGGCAAACGCGCCAGGACTTACAGCTTCGGTCTAGGCAAACGCCTCAGCAGCAAGTTCAACTTTGGCCTTGGGAAACGGGAGAGGGACATGCATAGGTTCAATTTCGGACTCGGCAAGAGATCCTCCGAAGATCTTTTCGACGACAGCGATAATTACTACGAGGTCTAAATTTACGTTTCATTTTTCGTGAAAATTTACATGGAAGTTTTGCAGTATCTATAGCTTTGATTCGACGTGCTTTTTAAGACTCCTTATTCCTTATGTGTAACAAGGTTTAAAGTTATCTGTCCGGAGCGATTCTCTTGTGAAATCCCCAGCCAATTTTCACAAGGCAATCAAAAACAGTTCTGAAGAAATGTTAGCTATATTTTATTAAGGTTCCATGTAAATCTTCATGCTTTTAAATATTCATTGCTTTTAACTTTTAACTTTTCGACTGGGAATATCCTCTCTTTTAACCGTGTTAAAATAGTTAACTAATCAATTTTAATTATTAATAAATAAATAAATAAAATATTTTTATTGTCAATTTCACACTTTTGATCGATTTCATACTCATTAAAAAAATGAAAATAAATGGCAAAATCCACGAGAAAAAAATCTTGAAAAATTAAATCAAAATAAAGTAAAATTTCTTTTTTTAGTTAAAAATTTGTAAATTGTTGTTAAAACTTGTAGTTATTTATGTAAAAGATAGAACGTAAAAAATAGTTGAAGAATTGTAAAAGTTCATCACATTGAAGTATTGTAGAGTTACAATTATAACTAATATTTTGTTGACGACGAAATGTAACATTTACTTGGTGTCTGTTCAATATTATTGAAGTTTCTTTTAAGAAGGTACGTTTATAATAGTGTATAGAAAAATAAATAACGTTTTATTATCTGTTATTTACTATTACAGTTTATGTTTATTTTGCTATTGAAAACTTGTATCATTCTATAAGTTCGTATTCATCGTGCATGTAATTTAACCTTACTTTTACTCATTAAGTCTCTGTTAAGGAATTTAGTAAATACAGGAACTGCAACTATGGTGCAACTCTACAATAATGAATATATAACACTGGATTAATTTACAGTTTGCATTTATGCCTTCTTGTCGTAAAATTAATTGTTTTCAATGTTTGATTGATAGTTGCAATTAGAGTAACTCACGTTTTTCAGGAAACAAAAATGACACAGCTTGACGACAATCTTTTAACAAACTGAGACATATATATTCTATTTAGTTATTACATTTACTAAATAGAAAACTCCAGTTTGTTTCACAAAACAAATGAACAAAGGAATGTTGAACACGTTTATATCTTGTATAAGTTAACCACTTAATCTGCGTCACGAGTGTAGAATCACATTCCAGTTACATTTTAGTAACCAAATATCCCGGGTTTGATTCACAGTGTAACAAATTGTTCTAGACTTAAATGTATTACAATGATATATATAGCTTTTGTAATTCTATGAGTAACTAATGTTACCTAGTTAAAATCGCTTCGGAACGTTTAATAACTATAGTATTCGTGTCAATAACATTATTTTTTCAACAAAATTAAGTTTGTCTACGCAATTTAATAGCGCTTGTTACATTAATATAATATTGTTAGTGTCCGTTACATTAATTTTACAACGAAAATAAGTATTGTTACATAAATCGTAACTCTATAATACCAATATGAATAAGTAAGTAAGTAAGTTTCTTTAAGTAAACTTGTTTTCATTATAACCGTAAAATATGCATGAAATGAATAATACAAATAGTGAACATGGCATCATTCTATGTTATTATTTGGGTTTCCTTTTCTCACCCCCAAACCTTAATTATAAAGTTTGTAAATGGCAACAAAAGATGGTTATATTAACTAAAATAAAGGATAAGTCACGTACTTAAGTAAAATTTTTGACATCACGAGATTCGTCCAAGGATGTACTGCCACCTTACCTATTTCTGCCGCCACGCAGTAATGTGAGCATAACTGCTGTGTTCCGGTTTTCAACTTACGTCTCAGGGTGACAGGCGCAGTGGCAGTGCCTCTCAGATCTTTGCGATTTAAAGCTCTGATTGGCACTGTAGTGAAGCTTATAAAAAAATCCGCAGTGGCTACTAAAACTCTTCCGATTCCGTCGCTATGTTAAAAATTCGATTTGAATAACTGACTTTTCCGTTGGTTTTGTAAATATGACTAAGTCTCATGGTAGTTTTCTACTTAAAAAAGCGATTATTGCAAAAACGATCTTGATTCGGTTACGTTTTGGACGATTTCCGTAGTCGAATGGCTTGCTTCTATATTGTATAGTTTCTATATGGTCTCGGGTCTCGGTGTTTCTGGTACCGTCGTTGTTTCCGATTTCCATAATACACTACACTCTTCATCATTCAGCCATACGACGCCCACTGCTGGGCATAGGCCTCGCCCAACGATCTCCACGACGATCGGTCCTGCGCTGCCCGCATCCATCGGCTTCCCGCGCCCTCCACCAGATCGTCGGTCCACCTGGTGGGGGGCCTACCCACTGAGCGTCGTCCGGTGCGCGGTCGCCATTGAAGAACCTTTCCGCCCCAACGGCCATCGGTTCTCCTAGCTATGCTATAACTACACTCTTCACCTCATAATATATTAGAGCCGTTACACACGGCGACTTGTAGCAGCGGTGCAACCGCGATGCAGTCGCTAATCGCCTACCTTTACACACACGCGCGTGAGATTTAAAGTCAAAGGTTATGATTATTTCACTGGGAAGCAAATTACTATTGAATTTCATATTGATTAAACTCTATCGCTCATTCATAAAGCAGATTACCTTAAGCAGAATGAGCAAGATAGTCTACGGGTTGCTCTTTGTAAATAAATACACACATTTGTCATTTACAATATTTATTTCAAATATCATAGATTGAGTCAACCTGCAAGCGATAAAGGGATCCCTACCAAATTTATATACATACATACATATAATTAGTCATCCAAGTACGCAGAAGCAGTGTAATAACCATTAGTATTAATATTTTGTTTCACCATGCTTTTAAACCTCGTAAATGCATTGCCCCTTATATGAATTCGTGACTTTGTGAAGGCGACTGTTAGGCGCAACTCACACTGGCGCAAAGTCGAAGAGTCGCGACGCGTCCTGTTTTTCTCGCTCGCATTAGCGCGCCCGGATCAGTGTGGTCGGCGTCTGATGCGTTAACGCGCGTGGCGACGCGCGAAACCGCTCGAATTTAATCAAGCGCGATTCCATATTTGCATAACATAAATTTGTACCTTAGTAATGGGAAAATAGAGATGAATATGCCATAGCCGAAAAACATGACGCGTCGCGACGCTTCGATTCTGCGCCAATGTGAGTTGAGCATTAACAGCCATTTTGTTTTTACTAAAATAAAAAAACAAAAATATGAAATAGTAAAAAATTATAACTAAATTACCAAGTATATTTCCTATTTGATAGTTTTCTAGAATAGGGGCCCGTCTCAAAAGCGTCTCATTCATCACGAAGATTGATTTTAAAAAACTTGACATGTTTGCCGCACAAAATTGATATTTTTGATTTGGGCCACTATTCTTGAAAAGCCGGGATATATCTCGACATCGGAAAGATAATGGAGTCCGTGTTTCTTCGCTCTTGGCATCATGAATTGCAACATCTTTTCAGAAGTCCTACGGGTCAAGAAATGGGACCATCCTAATGACACTTGTACATTGAAGAAAGTTCTAAATCCTTGGAAACCGTGTGACTTTACGGCCTGAACTATCTTCTTAGAGGAAACACGTGCCCATCAACGCATTATAATGGATTGATGATGATAAATTTGAGAATAATAGAGCTCTTTACCTAATAGATACATGAAGCAACTTTCAAAAGTATTTAATATATTTTTACATATTTTATGATACCAAATAAAGGGACGAACAAAGGGCACCTAAACGTAAGGGACACACGTATCCATAACAGTTGCAGTGCCACTCAGAGCTTTAAATTATAAACCAGCACCCTCCAAAACCGGAACGCAGTAATACTTACATTACTGCTTGGCAGCAGAAATACGTAAGTTGGTAGTACTCCCCTGTACGAACTTTTTGACAAGGAGATCTCTCTACTGCTCTAACTGCTTTAACATTCTGTATAGGGACAAGGGTCTAAAATCTAGCATTGTAGAAAAAAATCACATCGAGAAATAAAACAATTTGCAGAGCAGCGTAGTGCGAGGAAAATCAAATTTGGCCGAGATGAAAAACAATAGGATACGATAATCATATTTAGAAAATATATATTGTTCTTTCCGTTTCCGTTTCATTCAATTTCCTTTTTCATATTTTATTGTCGCTAGTTATGTAGCTATGTAGTTGGACGGACTTCTTTTTTAAGCTACACAACCCAAACACAACTTAACAAGCAGTCAAACGGTGGTTGCCAGAAATATTATTCTACCATCATCAGCTAACACATTGCTTACAGAGGCAGTAAAAAAAAATCAGTGCTTAAGGGTTGATTTTACCATTGGTGAAGTAATTTTATTAAAAATACATCAAAGTAATCAGAATTCATAATGGGCAAAGGCCATAAAACAAAAAAAAAACTTGCAAAATCAGCATACTTAGTGGAAGCATATGAAAGTTAGCACATTCCCAATGTAACTAAAAATCAGAAATTCTTCAATCACGTGCAATTTTTTCTTTATACAGTCTATTCATTTGCACTCTCGCCATATTTAAGAAATTAATAATAAAAATAGATAGCCTTCCCGCATTTAAAAAGTCCGTCATTAAACGACTCATTTCACCTATTTTAAGACCTTATTGTTTATTATGTCTAGCAAAGTTTTGCAAATTGTCCGTAAATCGTATGCACCGCGCACGGACAGTGATCTCGCCACCTGTTTCACGGAGCGATACGTAATATTTCTAATTATTACTCGCGTTGTTATAGTTTACTAATTATTTACAGTAATTAGAGAAATTGACCGAAAAAAGTTTTTTTGTAACTTAGATTTGGTAATTAATGTTTTATTGAATTGATATTCAATTATTTTTTGTGAAATTACTCCACTAGTTTGTTACAATTATTAATACAAAGATCGAATACTCAGAAAAAATTCCTTCGATCCGGTCGGATTCGAACCGACGTCTTCTTGCATACCGTGCCAGACGATATACCAACTAAGCTACGGAACGAACCAACGGACCTCACGAATTCTTCTATGTGCTTGCGTCGTGTCGTCGTGATGATCTTGCTTATACATAATATATAGTACTTACATATATGCAAGGCACACAAATAAACACTTCACTTTACAAAGGATCTCGAACACATATTTATCATGCTTGCACACAATGTGTTAAGTTATAAAGAGGCCTAAGAGAAATGAAATTTATGAGTTAAAAGGGGATAGAGAATCGCTGTAAAATATAGGTGTATTAAAGATTGGTTACCTAAAAAAACGTCAATTAGGTACCGATGATTTTGCTTAACAATAAAACTGAAACTTAGTTAGTATCGAAGGATTTTTTTTTCTGAGTGTTCGATCTTTGTATTAATAATTATAAC